CATGGTGGCGCAACTGTTAGAGCTGCTGCCGCTCAGCGAGCAGGTCCTTGGTTCAAACCCCGGTCCAGGGGCCTTTCTGGGTGGAGTTTGCATGTTCTCTCAGTGCATGTGTGGGTTTTCTCCGGGTACTCCGGTTTCCTCCCACAGACCAAAAACATGCATGTTAGACTGATTGGTAACTCTGAATTGTCCCTAGGTGTGAATGAGAGAGTGAATGTTTGTTTGTCTCGTTTGTCTCTATGTGTCCCTGTGATGGACTTGCGACCCGTCCAGGGTGTACCCCGCCCCTCGCACAGTGATTGCTGGACATGGGCACCAGCGACCCCCGTGACCCAAATTGGAATAAGCGGGTAAAGATAATGGATGGATGGATGTTTGAAGCCTGAAATGTGGCAAAAGGTTGAAAAGTTCAAGGGGGCTGAATACTTTAGCAAGGCATTATATATATATATATATCAATATCATATATATATATATATATATATATATATATATATACTCACACACACACAGGAGGGCACTTCTTAATTGTCAGCTGCTGGATTTCCATTTCTAGGGACAAAACTTGTCTCTGCAACTCTTGAAGTCTCCGTGCAGCATCATCCAGTTGACCTAAGTTAAAATAAAATATAATCATTAATAAACGTCACTTATCCACCCATTAATTTCCTGTTCAATTATCAAATATCTTTTGTATTACAGCATTTCTTCTGTTACTTACTCGTTACTGCCTTGACAGTTCTGAGGTGAAGATATATGTAATTTTTTTCAAAGGGTAAAACACAAAATATGCAATATTTTCCATAAAGTATGACGCTGCTCCTCCTCATTCAAATCATTTCATGTATTTAGTGACAGTCTCTCAACCATTAGCAAGTCCAAAATGTTCTGAATACAACCACGAGATGGTTACAGTGTTATTCACTGCCATATATTTTTTCTACAAGACATTTTCTGCAACACTAACCTGCAGAAGGATGTCAGGCAGAGTCGTGATCTTTTGCCACTGCACCTGCAGGCGATACCTCCTCTGTACAGTTCCCGGGGTCAGGCACCTCCTGGGAGTCATCCTGGCCAGCAGCACGAGACGCTTCTTGCTCACAGCTCAACTGACTCACGAGCTTGTGAGCGTCTCCCTACAGGTGGGAAATCAGACACTTCGTGGTCATGACACATTTTTGTTTATTTTTTTAAATGTTCAGCACGGTCCTCCCTCCATTTACCCCAATCATTCCAGTGAAATCTAGATGGCACCGATCCTTGTCTGATCCGGGTTCTTCCACTGGCTGATGAATTTAGATCTTCTGGGGCAAAGTGCAGACTGCATGGGTGCTCCCACGAAGGATTTTAAAAGTTGGCCCTTCATGTCTCCTGATCGCTCTCACCCAACGGGAACATATTTCTTTGTCCACGGGAAAATTGTGGAAACTCAAATACGGTGTTTTGTGTTTATTATTGGAACAACATGGCACACTGCAGTAACGTCTTGATGACTGTGTCGTGCTGGTTAGACGAGCTGCTGCTGAACTGGAGAGCTCGTTCAGTGACAGATTACTTCATCCTAAATGCACAAAGGAGCGTTACCGCAGGTCCTTCCTCCCAGCAGCTGTTAGACTCTACAACCATCACTGCTCCCAACAAACTCAATAATGATTAAATACATGCTGACCTCTGCTCAAACACACTCTGCCTGTAATACTGTGCTGTCAATAGTCTGTCCTTATCAATGTTCCAACACATATTGAACATTATTATTGATATTGTTTATCTTATTTCTTTATATATTGTTGAATATTTATATATATATTGAAATATTTTTATCTTTTTATCTGTTGCTGCTGGGGCAGCACGGTGGCGCAACTGGTAGAGCTGCTGCCTCTCAGCGAGCAGGTCCTTGGTTCAAACCCCGGTCCAGGTGCCTTTCTGGGTGGAGTTTGCATGTTCTCTCCGTGCATGCGTGGGTTTTCTCCGGGTGCTCCGGTTTCCTCCCACAGTCCAAAAACATGCATGTTAGACTGATTGGTAACTCTAAATTGTCCCTAGGTGTGAGTGAGAGAGTGAATGGTTGTTTGTCTCGTTTGTCTCTATGTGGCCCTGTGATGGACTTGCGACCCGTCCAGGGTGTACCCTGCCCCTCGCACAGTGATTGCTGGACATGGGCACCAGCGACCCCCGTGACCCAAAATGGAATAAGCAGGTAAAGATAATGGATGGATGGATGGATGGATGGATCTGTTGCTGCTGTTACACTTGAATTTCCCATCTGTGGGACAATAAAGGCTGTTTCTATTCTCTTCTATTCTGTTTTTTCATTTCAGCTTGAAAACTGCAGGACTACAGGAACTCAACAAAAGCTGGAGCTGCTCTGTCTGTGGCCTCTCAGGAACGTGCACGTCACACACACATCGTCCATGAAGACACTGGACCAGAGCACAAGATAATAAGACGTGATAACAACGACAACAATACACATTCACAAATGATTCAGACAATTTTTTTTATTGTTTGTTTGTTTTACAATTGAAAAACAGTTTGTATAGATATTAATAAAAATTAATAAAAATGTATCAGTGACTGTGAGTTTTGCAAATGTGTCATAAGAATATTTTATTAGTGTTAATGTTAACGCCACCAAGAATATTTAAAAACACTGAACCATGTGTTCAGCTTTAATGGCTGCACTCCTGAGATTTACAGAGGAAAAAATCGTGAGAATGAGTTTAGTATTCAGCTCTGACTGATTAAACGCGCAAATACTTCATTGCTCCCGTCAAACAGGCTACACTGAGTGGACCGTTCCAAGATGGCGGCTCTACAGCTCGTCAGCTCCAATAGGCGATAGCGGTCAATGCTGGATCTAGTGTTTATATCTACAGGTCCTTCTCAAAAAATTAGCATATTGTGATAAAGATCATTATTTTCCATAATGTAATGATAAAAATGAAACTTTCATATATTTCAGATTCATTGCACACCAACTGAAATATTTCAGGTCTTTAATTGTTTTAATACTGATGATTATGGCATACAGCTCATGAAAACCCAAAATGCCTGTCTCAAAAATTAGCATATCATGAAAAGGTTCTCTAAACAAGCTATTAACCTAACCATCTGAATCAACGGCGTAACTCTAAACACCTGCAAAAGATTCCTGAGGCTTTTAAAAACTCCCAGCCTCGTTCATTACTCAAAACCACAATCATGGGTAAGACTGCCGACCTGACTGCTGTCCAGAAGGCCATCATTGACACTCTCAAGCAAGAGGGTAAGACACAGAAAGAAATTGCTGAACTAATAGGCTGTTCCCAGAGTGCTGTATCAAGGCACCTCAGTGGGAAGTCTGTGGGAAGGGAAAAGTGTGGCAGAAAACGCTGCACAACGAGAAGAGGTGACCGAACCCTGAGGAGGATTGTGGAGAAGGGCCGATTCCAGACCTTGGGGGACCTGCGGAAGCAGTGGACTGAGTCTGGAGTAGAAACATCCAGAGCCACCGTGCACAGGCGTGTGCAGGAAATGGGCTACAGGTGCCGCATTCCCCAGGTCAAGCCACTCTTGAACAAGAGACTGCGTCAGAAGCATCTCGCCTGGGACTGCTGCTGAGTGATCCAAAGTTATGTTCTCTGATTACAGTAAATTTTGCATTTCCTTTGGAAGTCAAGGTCCCAGAGTCTGAAGGAAGAGAGGAGACACAGAATTCACATTGCTTGAGGTCCAGTGTCAAGTTTCCACAGTCACTGGGGTGTCATGTCATCTGCTGGTGTTGGTCCACTGTGTTTTATCAAGGGCAGGGTCAATGCAGCTAGCTGTCAGGAGATTTTGGAGCACTTCATGCTTCCATCTGCTGAAAAGCTTTATGGAGATGAAGATTTAATTTTTCAGCACGACCTGGCACCTGCTCACAGTGCCAAAACCACTGGTAAATGCTTTACTGACCATGGTATTACTGTGCTCAATTGGCCTGCCAACTCTCCTGACCTGAACCCCATAGAGAACCTGTGGGATATTGTGAAGAGAAAGTTGAGAGACTCAAGACCCAACACTCTGGATGAGCTTAAGGCCGCTATCGAAGCATCCTGGGCCTCCATAACACCTCAGCAGTGCCACAGGCTGATTGCCTCCATGCCACGCCGCATTGAAGCAGTCATTCATGCAAAAGGATTCCCGACCAAGTATTGAGTGCATAACTGAACATGATTATTTGAAGGTTGACGTTTTTTGTATTAAAAACACTTGTCTTTCATTGGTGGGATGAAATATGCTAATTTTTTGGGACAGGTATTTTGGGTTTTCATGAGCTGTATGCCATAATCATCAGTATTAAAACAATTAAAGACCTGAAATATTTCAGTTGGTGTGCAATGAATCTGAAATATATGAAAGTTTCATTTTTATCATTACATTATGGAAAATAATGACCTTTATCACAATATGCTAATTTTTGAGAAGGACCTGTATGTGTGTAACAATATATAAATATATATTATATATTGTTACATCGTTTTCAGCCCCCTTTCTGGCATCCACAGCAGAGAAAGCTATGTAGTCTCTGTAAGTAGGTCTAGGGGGGAAAATATCAGTATCGGTTATCGGCCAAATAAATTTTAACATATCAACATATCAGCCAAAAATCCAGTATTGTGCATCCCTAATTTCTACACAAAGAAACCATCCAGAGGACCTGATTTAACTTTGTTGTGATTAATGAGCATGAACTTTGATGTTCTGAACTTCTAAGTCTTATCTGTGTTCTTTGTTTAAAACAGGTTTCTCAGTCCTCGAGGCTCAATGAGTCTAACCTGTATAAAAAAAAAGGTTGAATGAAAAAAGAAAGGTTCAGCTCCAACATACAGCATTAAAACAACGTGGGTTGTGTTCTCTAAAAAGATGACCGGCAAATCCACTTTACCAATATGGCGGCGTCGAATCTCCAAGTTTCCCGCCGGATGACTTTGTTACCGGAACTTCCTGTCCCACCCACATTCCCGTGCCGCTTCCGGGTGGTGGTTACTCCACACACACACACACAAGACTTCAACCATAGAGTCGTCGTTGTCGCTTCGTTGTAAACAAAAGTTACTAAACGGGTTACCCTCCGCGATACAATAAGTGAAAAGACATGCATATCAAATCAGGTAAGTCTGTCCAACATTTCGGGACATGTGATCGCTTATTTTTACTTTTGGAGTTTCTATTTCCCCATTTTGCCGCGGTGTTAGCCGCCGAGCTAGCTGTACCGAAAGCAGCCTGATCACTTTGAATGGGGGGGGTTGGGGGGTTACGAAACTTTGATTTGAGTTAGCGCGAGCGGCTAACTGCTGACTCTTGTACGTTGATAAAAACTGAACGGTAAGCTACACACAACAACCGCCGTTCAATATGTTTTCAAACTGTTTTCTGTTCCAACTTTGAATGGACAGGCGTCGAGTTAAGTTAGCATCGTGGCGCTGCTGGATAGTTTGCTAACGCCGGTGCCTGTGGCTTTGTTGATCTGGATTAAGATTAACGCTCTAAACTTAGATATAATGTGGCGGCATTCAAACACATTAATTTAGCGCCTTCTACGTGGTTCTAGTCGGAGTGAAAGCAGAAGAGTGTGGCGGTTTCTCGAAATTTCTCATATAATGTGGAAGAGCATCATGGTCGCTGTTTGTTTGGTAAGCTGGTGTTGTGTCGGAGTTTGTGACCCTGTGGAAACGTGTTGTCACCTGGGTCTCCTCTTTCATCTTCTCGTCCAGCGCGCTTTTCAATTTCAAACACACGCAAAACTAAATTAAGACGACGAGAACCGACATTTATACACACTTATAGTTAAATAAGTTGATAAAATGTCGAGTCATAGTACCAGTATTTTAAATTGAGTTTTATCCACTTTTCTTTGGGCTTATATTGAGTGGCTGTGGTAGCCATCTTGGATTGGCTCCACATGTTTATAGTATTTCTTGGATGTTTTTTTTTTAATTCTCGTGGTTAAGAGATTTTGCTAACAGACAGGCACAAACGTAAGCCCTTTAATATTGTCTGGCTTAGCTTTTTAAAGTACGTGATATTTTCTTCCAACAAATCCTGATGTTTCTGTTTTATGAAAAGTTGAAAGTGGGGTTCTGTGGAAAACGCTAAACGAATTAGTATCTTACCTGTTGTAGATGTCTTTAAGGACTGATACAGGAGGGAACTCGGAGATCGTCATCATTATGTGGTGAAATTAGTTCTCTGCATTTAACTCGTCGCAACTGAGATACACCCAGGTGGAGCGGTAGCACCCGGATTCGGTGTCTTGCTCAGAGACGCCACGACATGTGGGAATGGCTGCGAGTCGAACGGCGACTTTCTGGTCCCAAGTCGGCAGCCCTACCTCTGCCTCATCTCAGCCCGCTTACGACTAACCGGTAATTGCCACCTTAAAACAACTTCATCCATGATCTGTTACAACGGGAGCTGGGGCCTGAGCTACTGCAGCCAGCTGCTGCTAGCAGTGGGCTTCATCGGACCCCAGGTCCACCTCCAGCCCACGCTGTCCCTCGGCTCGGACTCCCTCAGAAGCGGCATCGCACACTATCAATAAATCAAGAAAACGTGACTACATTTAACCAGCTGTATTAAATCGAGGCAGGAGAAGTTTACGGTTTACAGCGCTGGCCTGTCCGGTACTCGACGCAAGATCAGGAACGGGAAGGGCCGATGTCACGTGGCATTACAAACGTATATGGCCTAGACGACTCCTTTCGCAGAAGGGGAGCACAACCTGTCACGTGTATGATGGGGAGGGACTAAGTGTGGTCTCTTTGGACCTTATGTGATTTAACGTGAGAGTAAAAAAATGAGACAGCGGATAAAAAGCCTTTTCTGTGTGATATAGCGAGTAAATTAAACTCTATTGAGTTGTTGGCCCCGTTTAAACCTGTCTGAACCGGGTCATAATTTCATTATAAACCCGTCTCTGAGCAGATCAAAAACCCGGGGTCAGTCTAGATAAAATACTACCAGTTCCATCATCTTTACCCGCTTCTTCCTTTTCGGGTCACGGAGGTCACTGGTGCCCATGTCCAGCCATCGCTGTGCGAGAGGCGACCATCACGGGGCTAAAACAAGTTCAATCTCAAAATATTTATGCGCCCTTTTTTAATATAATAAATGCAGTTTAACAAAATCGGCATGTTCGATACCAAGTTTACGTAAGTTTTGTTTGGAACGTTTTCAGAGAACGTCCCTGTAAAATAACCAGAGTATACGATGTTGGTAAAGGACGTTAAGACGTGCAGCTGCCAGGAAAAAGACAAACTGTGGAAAATGTTGGAGTGAGGACAGATCGAGACGTCTTCAGTTAATTCCAAATCATTGTTCCGGTTCGAATATGATTTAACACATCGCTGCAGTTTGTAGCTTCTATTCTACGACTCTTATTCAGCAGCTTGTTCCTTTAAGCTGTAAGGACAAAAACGTGGAGTTAGAACTGAGCACTTACAGCGTTTTCTGATTTTTTTTGTAGATTCTTAGATGTGGACAGTGGTTTTGTAAGAGTGTACTAATTCAGATGTCTACATTCTGTTGTCCCCCCCCCAGCTTCATGGGAACTCAGCAACACTGTATGTGAGTCAGACAGCCTGTGCGATCAACCAGTCCTCGTGTCAGCACCCAACTCCGAGCCCCACGTCCGTAACCGCCGCTTGTCTCCCGGTTCTGGCAACAGTGGGGGTGGTGGAGGTGGAGGTTGCATCTCTGGAGGCTCCCAGCCACCCAAGCAGCATTCAGCTCCGGGCGGTCCCACCAGTCCTGGTCACACACACACCCTTACCTTCCGCAAGGACAGAGAGCGCCGGGGCCAGCAGCACAAAGGCCGCAGCATCCGCAGGGAGGGTCAGAAGGGGGTCGGTCGGGTTGGTGAGCGGCCGCTGCAGGTGAACCAGAAGGAGAAGTGGGCGGAGCACAGCCTGTCGCTGCTCAAGCCCCCGCCTGCCTTTCCGGTGCAAGACAGCCCCGCCAAGCTGCAGCCGGCTGTGAGCTACGCTTCCAAGGTGAAGGCTGGAGCGGCAGGTGGAGGTCTGGAGGAGGACCGCCCCGCCATTAACGTGCTGCTACAGAACCAGTGGGGTCTAAGTTTTATCAGCGAGGGGCCCGGCCCCCACCCCACCACCGACAGCCCCCCACCAACAGACGCTAACCAGTCAGCAGACCCGCAGCACAGCACAGTTCTCGCAGCGGAGACGCCTCTCCCCGTCACGACCGTGGTCAGTTCGGCCGAGGGGAACGGAGAGCTGCTGCTCAGCTGTCGCCACCTAGTGGAGGCCTTGAACTACCACAACAGAGGTACGGGTGAAAACAGCAGCTAGAGACCGTTTGTAACGGCCGGAAAGAATGATTTAAACTTTTCTTCTTCTTTTTTGTTACAGAATGGAACATTGCCTGTAACAGACAGAAGAAAGGTAAGCTTATTCAAATAAAGGCTGGTTCTGGAGATACAGTTGTCGCCTGCTGCTGAGAGCAAAAGGCTGCGATGTGTATTTATTACCTTGTAAGGCCCATTTTCCCAACTTATTCTACATTGGGAGGACCAGTGGTGCCTGGGCCCCATCACAAGTGCTGCTGGTGGGATAGACTGTAGAAATGAATGTGAGTCAGTGCAAAGTCCCTGTAAAGATAGAGAGACAAACCTGTGTGTGTCTCGTTAGCAAAACCAGCCGTGGACAGATGTGAATGAAACCTACAGAAAATAAAGAGGGGGGGTTTGATTCCTCTGTATCTGTGGTGGTTCTGACGGTTTGAAGGTTCGGATCAGAACACAAAGATCAGAGTTCATCATCTCGTATAGATGCACTGCATTTCTGCAGGCCTGTCGCGATAAACAAATTATTAATCCCGTGATAAATGAAAATTATCGACCTCATTTTATCGACTTTATCATTTCTTCACGTCTCTTTGTACTGAAGACACTGGATGATAAAAACTCAACTCAGGTGCTCTTCACTGACCCCTCCCATTCCCTTTCAAATCCATTTTAACGATCCAAAAAAGCAGCGAACATGCCAACCTTGGGTCTTGTCCACGGTTGAAACCCGCGCCTTCGTGTAAATGTTGTTTTCCTCCGCAAAAAGAAGCTGAGAACTTGTTTACTGATTTTATTTTTATTAAAAGCTTTGTGTGACAAATGCTAAAGAGCTCAAACCACACGGAGTGTCCGTCATTTTGAGAACTGAAGAGACGGCCCACGTCAAGGGGCATCCCTCCCATTTTTCTTAGAGACACGCTGCTCGCTCCCTCACTACCCATCCTTCAATTCAAACTGTCTTATCATTGTCATATTTCAAACTATATTGTCGTTCATCGCAATAATTTCAGACAAACAAATCACTCAGCAAAATTTGTTTTTATGACAGGCCTAGATTTATGTTGACTTTTAGGACAAACCTGATCTCTTAAATGAGACGGTGAAACGTGTTTCGTTTGATTATTAATTAATCGTTTGCTTTTCTGTTTTCCAGATCCAAAAAGAGTTGTCTGGTACAAGGACGTCCAGGAGCACCCAGCCTAGCAGCGTGACGAGTGCACCACATCAGCACACACCTCCACGCACGTAACACCTATAAAGATGGACACGGTTGAGTCCCGTTCACACGCTGCACTCAGGATGATGTCATCACATTAAGCCACACTGAGACACTTTGGACTAACTCCTTACAGCAATGGACTTTTTAATGCCTTACAGAAAGCCTGCCTTAATAATCACCTCGTTCTCATTTTTAGCTCATCTGTGTACAACTGTTCCTTTTTTAAAAAAACGATCTTCGAGGAGTCTAATTTAGTTTGTTTGGAAGCTGTGGTTTTATCAGACTGTCTGTTGTCAGTCGAGCACTTTGTTTAAAACTCTGACCAACCCCCGTGTGTGCGAGAAGTCCTGAGCGGCGCTTTTTAATTTGTCTTTGCCCACTCTTAACCAGAAGAGCGTCTCCTCCCTGCGTACAGTTTGTGTTTATTGAAGCGGGGGGGGGTTCGGTTTACAGAAGGGTGTAGTCAAAAGACACACGTTCGCCCCTTCTCACGTCTAATCTTAATGCTGTTTGTTTTTATTTGGTCTCAGTCGGGTGAATGTTGTTCATCGGTCCGTACGGGATGACGCCACGTTCTGTTTGTAGAAATTTGAATTCAAAATACACTGGAGAAATGAGAAAAACAGTATTACTTAATAAATTTGAATATACTTGAAAACATTTTGTCTTTTAATTTAAACACTCCAGAGTCCAAAGACACACGGTCAACTCGTCTTTTCCTAACGGACGTAACTGACACTCTGACATAAGTAGAATCCCAAGTTGTGTTTTCTCCACGGAGATATTCCATCCTTTATTATTTCTGAGCGCAGTCAGTCTCTCCACGTCACCTCCACCTCGTCTGTTCTGTACCTGCAACACAAGAACAAGTCGATAAATATCAGCATGAAGTAACACCAATGACGAAAGATAAGTTAAAAACTTGTTTCAGACGGGCAAAGGAAGGTTGCCATGAATACGTTTACCGTATTTTTCAGCCTATATGTCACTATTTATTTTCATAATTTACATGCCCTGCGACTTATAGATCAAAGTGACTTATTTATGATTTCCCCCATATTTATAAACAATTTTTGGCTGAGATGACCGTTTTCATTCATTCTGACTGAAAAAATTGAACACTACCATTTTCAGCCACTAGATGGCAGCAGTAGTAAGGCATGCTGTTGTATCATGTAATATGTAAAAGTGGCTGAATGACAAATACAAAAAAACCACATCAAAAACAACTGGGCTTTATTTTACTTTATACTTCATTGTTTTTGTCTTGAACTTATTTGAAGTTACCATGTCCTGGATGACTGAGAATCTTGACCAGCTATTAATGACACAATCAGCCTGCCATAACCTGACACCTTCGTTCTGCTCGCTGCTTGGAGCAACTGTCAAACCAGCTGCACCGCCCCGGCAAAATGCAGCTAATTTGACCATTAAAGTGCATTTATTAATCAAATGTTAGACTGAGACACACCTTTACTATAATGTTGAGCAAACAAATTTTTCATTCAACCTTTTATTTAGACAGGTAAATCCCATCGAGCCTCCAGGACTCATTTACAAGAGACCTGAAATAATTGTTTTTTAGTGTTAATCTTGTTAAATTTGTGTTAAAGTCCTCCCGTGCACGCTCCCGCGGCTTCCATTTGGCAGCCAATCAATTTTGGACACAACACCGGCCCACATTTCTGGGTCGTCAGTGGTGATGCGTAACAGATGCGACGTATAAGACAAAGCGATATTTACGGCGGAATATACGGTAATCGGCACCTCCAAATCTGATCATCAAATCATATCCAAATCCTCAGTCAGAAAAGGCTGGATTGCTCTCTTCAGGTCGAGGGTGAGGTTTTGCCTCAAGTGGAGGAGTTCAAGTATCTCAGGGTTTTTTTGTTCATGAGTGAGGGAAGAATGAAGCGTGAGATATGACGGATTGGTGCAGCATCTGCAGTATTGTGGACCCTGTGCTGGTCTGTTGTGGTGAAGAGGGAGCTGAGCTGTAAAACAAAGCTCTGTTTACTGGTCAGTCTATGTTCTTCCTACCCTCACCAGTGGTCATGAACTCTGGGTAGTGAGTTTCCTCTGCAGGGTAGCTGGACTTCCTTAGAGACCGAGTGAGAAGTTCAGTTATCAGGAGAGACTCGGAGTAGAACTGCTGCTCCTATACATCGAGAAATCAGTTGAGGTAGTTCAGGCTTCCTGGGCACCCCTCTGGGGAGGTGCTTCGGGCATGTCTGACTGGGAGGAGACCCAGGACCTGCTGGAGAGACTACATTTCAGTTGGCATGGCAACAACTTGGAGTCCTCCTGGAAGAGGTGGGTGTGGAAAGAGATGTCTGGACCTCCCTGCTCAAGATGTTGGATGGATGGACAATGTTTAACAGACAAACTAAGCTTCAAAAATAAATCTGGATTGTGCTCTTGAGTTTTTATCCTGTTACAGCTGAGGAACTGCTTCATTCATCCATTCAACCTTTATTTAGACAGGTTAATCCCAGTGAGCCCCGAGGACTCATTTACAAGAGACCTGATTTGAACAAAGAATGATGACAACAATGGACAGTTAAAAAAGTCATACAGATTATTAATTTTTTTTAACAAATAGGATGGCTAAAAAAAAGAAACGTAACAAAAAACAGATAAATTCAAAGGTGAAGGTAGAAAACTAAAACATATTGATCTCCACACCCACCCAAATGACAAATGGGAATTGGTTGTGAATGGAGCGTAAACCAGAACGGTGGGAGGAATTTAACTGGGAACACGTTTCAATACATTTGTATCTTTGAACCTTGCTTCATTTTCCATGAACACTGATCCAGTTCAAATCAGTTTATCAGGGTGCCTCTAGTTTGACATAAAGTAAAAAATGGTCAAAAGAAAATATTGTTTGGGAGCGCTGTCAGCTGTTTAAAACGTTATAGAGGCTATAATATACACACGCTAACGATAACTGGTGCCTTCAAGCTAATAGCAACAAATAGCCACTGGGTGTTTTGTCATCGTTGTGTTCACACTGAACAACGAGCAGAGAAACAAGTTTAGACCATCTCCAAGCAGCTTCGGGTTCATCTGATCACAGTTGTCCAAGTTATTCAAGAGTATAAGCTTCAAGGAACTGAAGCCAACCTGTGAGAATGTGGACGCAAGAGGAAATGCAACCCCGTGTTGATCGGACAGTTGAAAACAGCCACCCAGTCTTTTTACACCAAATTTGACAAAGAACTATGTTTATTTATTTATTATTATTTGCAAGCACAGAGAGCAGCAGCAGCTAACTGTAGCACTTCCTGTCTGGGCGACTTCCTGCAGGAATATTATCATTTCTGCTAAAACATGTTTTTAAAACTGATGTAATGATTTTGAAGAGGATTTATAGAAAACAAGCTGAGCTCCAGTCGAGGTACACCACGTCATATTTTGTATCAAAACAAGCCACGGGAGAAAACGTCCACTGGAGGCAGGAACACAAAACAGCATGTTGACTGGAACCAGTTACTGGGTCTGATGACACTTTGTGACCAGTCTGAAGGTACCAGCAGGTTCATCTGCTTTTGTAAATATGATAAACAGCGGAACTGTGAACATCTACCTTTGTGTGATCCATGAGTCCTTCAGCTCTGTCACCTGACCGGACCGGAACATCTCCCAGCCAGCTTGAGCAATCATGGCTCCGTTGTCTATGCAGAACCTGCAGCAGAGAGGGTTCAGGGGAGGCCTGAGCAGGTCACATGATGACTGCACGTTTGGTCCAATAACACTGGTTATTCTTCACCATGTGGTACAGACCAGTACTGCGCTGAAGTTTACTGGTGTAAAACCTGAACCAGCTCCATTACTGGAACCAAAAATGAGGATTAAATGCTGACCAACCGTTCATCTGTGGCAAACAGCTTGGCTCCTCTCTCTGTACACATGATCCCCATCATGTCCTGCAGACGGAGGTTACCTGAGGAGCAAAGCAGAAAGGAGGAGCTCGGCTCTCAAAGGTTCAGACTGATACATGTGTGACGCTCGTGGTACTTCTCTCCTGCATGGTGACAAGTCACACCCAACTCGTTTAGTGTGAAACAAATAATCCTACAGTAACAAAGAAATTCTTTCCACCTCAAGACACCATCCTGTTGTCCAGCTGAGGATGTTGACAGCCCCGACGGAGATGACAAATGACACTTTCTGAGTCCTTGGTAGTTGAGTGAAACAAGCACTGCGTACGGCACATTACACAACAAGAAAAGACCTGGCATGACCTCCTTGACCTTGGAGCTGGGCTGAGGAAGAGTTTGAGACCTTCCATCTAGTGATGCTGCAGCTGTGTATAAGTTTGGTTAAATATCTGGAGCGGATCCGAAGTTAAAGCTCAGACAAGAGACAGTGTATGGACTGATGGAGACTGTAGTACATCCACCTGTAAAACTTTAAATAAGTTGAGAAACACTGTCCAAATAAATACTGCTTGGAACAATCAAAGCCACAACTCTTTACTGAAGCGTTTACTCAGAACTCAGATCCTTCTGATGAGCTGATTACTGTCAGACTCAGCTGAACTATCCCTTTAGGAAACAACTGGATCGTGTGATGTTTGCAAGTGACTTTATAGCATTAAAATGTTGACATCCAGAAGTTACCCTTCACCACATCATCCATAAAGACAAATTATGTTTCATTTTATGAAGCTGTCATTTACTTTGTTTGTCCTGGACTCAGAGTGATAGAAAATATCATCTTTGTGCTTCTACTCATCAACCTAAATTAGTAGAATTAAACATGGACAAGGTTAATTATAGAAATAACATGGTGGGGATTATTATTATTATTATGAACCATCCTGTAGCTTTAGGTTCCTTAAGAGAAAAGTGGATCACTTTACATAACTGATTAAAAATGCTATATTTCAATATTTTGGTCCATAATTAACTAGTCAATCATAAATCAGCTTAAAATAAAAATCAGCTTTAAATTACTTATTTTAGTCATTTAAAGGCCTTTAGTTAAAATAAATAAATAAATAAATGTGACTATTTATTTATAGTTCTTTACTTGTGCATGCTTCAGTTCTGATAGACCACCAAGCTGCTGCAGTCTGCTCCAGCTGCCAGCACTGCCATGTTTCCAGTCCAGCCAACTGGAGTCGGCTGGACTGAACGCTGAGCGGACGATTCTTCAGTCTGCATGAAAGAGAGTTTGCTTTTTGCACTAAATGTATACTCAAGAGCAAGCCTGGTTTTGCTCTTTACATCCAAACTGAAACAATTTTGTCTGTCGAGATGAGACGAAACTCCACAGCAACGTCCACCCATGATGAGTGCACCTCTTTCAAACAAATTACGTAATTCCTGCATGAGAGTGGGCCAATATAAAAATCCTGCGTTTAAAGACGAGATAAAAAATTAAATAAAAAAATCTTACTGAAAGAAAGGCATTATTTTATGATGTGAAATCTATGGAATCAAAAAAATGCATTTATAATGGGTTTTCTATATGGTCGTTTTCCCCCCAAATGAACACTAGAGGGCAGTAATCAAACAATTCTGACAAACTAAAAAATAATAATTTTTTTTTTTTTTTCCTTGACTGTCAGAAACAAAATAAAACAAAAATAAATGTGTGGCTGATTTTATCCCTATGAGATCTAAAGGTTAAAAAGCCACCCTGGGCACCATGTATACATTTAAATGAGTAAAAAACATTATTTCTAGAAACAAATCTTCACTTGACAAGATTTATTGTCATTTTATGTTACCAATGTGGAACTTACAGCCAACGCCCCCAACAATAAGGACCTCCTGGGAGCCACAGTGAGCCATGGCCCGCTCCGTGATCTCCACGAGCATCGCGAACACAGTCTCCTGCAAAGTCACAGCAACAACATCAAGTTTCATCATTTAGTGTCAGAAATGGAGCTGTAAACATGTTTGGGAATTCACCATCTTTAATTGACCTATAACATTTTGAGAACAATTTGTAGGACTTGTGGTGTACGGAGTAAAATAAACTTTTATTACCTGAAGTGAGAAACACAGATCTTCTGCTGTGCACTGACCAGAGCTCAGCATTTTGTTAGCAGCTTCCTGTCAAAAGAAACGACTATTAGGATTGGACAAAAGAAAAATGAAGAAGTGCATTCATATATTAACAGGTAGGTTAGCGTCATTACCATTTGTACCTATTGTCAGTCCAATTCTTCAGCTAATGAGCTAATATTAATAACTAATATTATTGTCTTTATGTCTGCCAGTTGGTTCGTTTTCCTCTCCGACCCTTTTGAACTGGTCACCCCTGGTGTTGCTGCTGTCTGAAGGAGATCGAGTTGCTTGTGTGACTGGTCCGAATGTTGTGCGTGTGTTTATGCAGATAAGTGGGTGAACTACACCAGTGTCATTACCTTCAACTGCTCTGCTGAGGAGCTGATGGCCGAGGTTGTTGGAAAATACAGCCAGTTTCAGGACTGTTTCAGTAACACTTACAGTCCAAGAACTTGGTGAAGGAGAACAATTTTTCTGCAGAGACATGGTATGCTGACCGGAGTACGCCTTGGCTGGACAGCGAAGAGACTGTCGGAAGTTTGGAACAGATTTGCAAAGACCAAACAGCGCAGTATGTACGGTATAATACTAGGGATGCACGATATTGGAATTTTGGCCGACATCCGATATGCCGATATGTTAAAACTTATTTGGTAAATGGTAAATGGACTGTACTTATATAGCGCTTTTCTATCTTATCGAGATACTTAAAGCTCTTTACACTACAGTCTGTGTCTCATTTACCCATTCATCCAGCACTCTACTAGATCTATACAAAGCTAAATGAACAAATCATTCTAAAGAGACTAATCAGTGATGTATCACATTCACACACTGATGGGACTCACATCAGAGGCAATGAGGGGTTCAGTGTCTTGCCCAGGGACACTTCGGCATGTGACTGCTGGTGGATTCGAACCCCCAACTCTTGCAATGGAGGACGACTGCTCTAACCACTCAGCCACAGCCGCCCTCTGGTAACGATAACGATACGGATATTTTTACTATACTTTCCTTTGTCAGAACATATTCCTCTTATTTAGGCTTATTTGATACAAAAACTGTGTAAGAGCTGTAAGAGCTGGTGACATATATTCAGTAACAGCCATGTGATATGTATAGCACTTTAACTTATATTAAATGAAAAGTGTTAAATGTTATTTATTAGCATTAGTCACCTGGGATGCTGTCTCACTTGTGAAGGCTTGTTCCAGGTTCCTAGTTGCAGTGTGGGATCCTCTGCACTCTGTGCATGAAGCACAGACTTTTTAAGTTCAGTTTTTGTCTATCCATTGTGCTGTAAGTAGGGCTTTAACAGACTACTCGAGTAATCTACACATCGATTCCTAGGACACCTATCGAGGTTTCTAATTTCACGTCGAGTATTCGTGGTGACGTCATTACGTCGCCGTTACATCATTGCGTCACGTGTCACGTGATCCGCGCCGGGCGCGGGTTACAAAATGGATTCCTCCAAGCAAACGGATGGAGCGGAGCAGGCCCAGTCTTGGCGAACAGGTAGAAATGCATCAACAGTCTGGAAATATTTCACTAAAGATGAATCTTCCGGTTCAACTACCGTAAGGAAACAGAAAATGAATCAACTTCCTGACTGCTTGGTGCTCGTTGCGAACCGGTGTTACACCGTATTCTGTGACCACCATAAATTGTGACCGTAGGAGGCGGTGTTGCACTGTTGCAGGTCACAGAATATGGCGTAACACCGGGTCCAATCGACTGAACCAGAACCAGCTTCCTCTGACCTTGTTTCACAAACTAAAAGCAAAAAATACTAATCTCTAAACCTATAAAAAAACCTATAAACATATTAATCTCTAAAACTAAACCTAACTCGCACCACTGCAGGCGGTGGTCCGGGGTGGTCAACCCCCCCATTGTTTTTAGTTTCATTTTTGATGTGCTGCACGTTTCTTTCAATTTTGCAGCTTAATAATAATAACTAATAGTTTTGTTTTTCCTGTGACTTATTTGCAGTATGATAAATGGGAGGAGCATAATATACGCTCCCAATGTTTTGTTGGTATTTTTTGTGTAAATAATTACCTTTTTTGCGGTTTTATTTATTTATTTATTTTTGTATCTTTAGATCCTATGATGTCATCAAGTACTCGAGTTCTACTCGAGTTTTATTATGTTAATGTCGAGTTTAAAAATTATGTAGTCGTTCAACCCCTAGCTGTAAGACTAATCATGCTAACGAGGCTAACACGACGTCCAAATGTCTGTGGTAAAACTCACCCAACAAGTCGTGCTATCGGCTATTAGCTTCTCAATGACGTTGGAAATGACGGCTTGTAACTCGAGTAAGGCTACGTCAGAAAAATATCTCTGACTGGGGACGATGTAGCGAGACTCAGCATAGTCCAAGAATCTTCAGAATCTGACGTCCTCAACGAAAAAAAAAACACGTCCACACCACCGACATTTTGACTTTTCCTCTCTGCCGTGATCAGGTAGGCGCGTGTGACATCATCACGTTGTGCTGCCACTGCAGGCACCCTTGTCATGGGTTGTCATACAAAAACGTCTTTTATATCAGTGAGTTATTTTGATGGACTGGCCGATGTCTGATACTGAACTTTAACGCTAATATCGACCAATACCAAGCCGATAATATCGTGCATCCCTAATATAATACATATCTTTTGTTGTGGTAAGGGAAGCAATGGTGGACATATTTGGGGGAGGGGTCTCCCAGGAGTTCTGCGCTGCAGTTTATTGTGGAGTATGCTATGCTGACAAGAATGTTTTAAAACTACAACGGTGGCAGCAGACTTCTTCAGTTGTTGAGAGAGGAGCCTTAATCTGAACTGAATTATTACGAGACTAACCTGTATAAATAAAGGTTGAACAAATTATGGATTAACAATAGCTTGGAAAAGTCTATCCAACACGTCTGAGTCTGGATTACCTCTAAGCCTTTCACTAATATCAGTAACTAGCAATATTCTTAAGTTTTTTTTAAAACACTTGCATGGCCTGAGTGTATAAAACTTATAATCATTATATTCTATGACAGTGAATAAGAGCACTTGAGACTAAAAGGGTGGGTGCTGGACTTTAAACATACACTTCTAAAAGACAAGGAATTTTATTATTTTAGCTTGTTTGATGCGTGTGATTTTCCAAGTGGTCAGTTGGTGATTCGATACTGGTTTCCCCCACCAGTTGCCCTTGATCTGTGCGTGAATGTGACTTGAGTGGTCAGTAGGACTACCGTAGATATTCATCTGCTCCAAAGGACTTTCTCTGATTTTGATGTGAACACCAAACAGTAGCACTGACAGGCTGTGCTTCAATCATGCACATTATAGAAAATTAATGGTAAAATAAATAAAAGCTGTTCGTGTCCAAACATTTCTTTATCCAGCGGAAGTTTTGCAAATAAGCCGACTGCTTACCTCAATATAGGACAAAATTCCAGAAAACGAGACGTCCATTCCTTTGACCGTATACGGCAGCTCCACGTACCGAGTCCCTCTGACAGCAGGGACAAGAAAACATGAAGGGTTTCAAATTAAATACAATCGGACAGGGCTTCGTTCTCAAAGTGTGGGGCGTGCATACCCTAGAGTAGGGGTGGTTATTATTGGATGTCATTGATGTTTTTGGAAAACAACGGATCAGAATGCTTTTTACAGTCATTGCACAGAAGCACAACGAAACTTCACTTCAGTACAGCCCGTCCAGAGAAACACAAAGACAACCGAACAACATAAGACATGGGTAGACGGGTGCCTGAGGCTGTAAAAGATGTTTAAAATGCGTAAGAGAAAAATAAAAATGTGTACAACAACCATTTTTAATGTATGAATGGAACATTAAGTATAGCAACAACAAATATTGTGACAGAAGTAATAGCTTGTGGGGGCGGGTGATTCTCCCACACTTTTGACAACCCCTGCAACAGGACACACAAATAAAGTCTGAATATCCAACAAACACACCGAATGCTTCTACTCACTTTTTGGCCATCTGCTCGATGTTGTAACCTGGACTTGGGTCGTTAGAAATCTATGTGGAGACAGTCTCACATGAAAAGTTGAACGTAGAATAAATATTAATCTGTGACCATAAAAACTCGTACCTTAATAACGCGAGCAAACCTGTCCAAACAGTTGCCAACTGCTATGTCAATAGTCTCCCCAAATATTCGGTACCGTCGCTCCGAGTAGGCAATAACCTGCGGTACCAGAGGGAAAAGAGCCAAAGTTTATTATGCCTGATCATCCGGAGCTCAGTGAGTCACTGTGCTTAAACCAACCTGAGTGTTGCCCCCGCTAACATACAGCACAGTGGGGTTGTTGGCTTTGGTGATGAGTCGGCCCATCTCAATGTGTCCGATACAATGGTTGACTCCAAGGAGCGGCTTCCCCCAGAGCTGCGCCACCGTGCGAGCCACTAGAGCTACGGTTACTAAGGGAGCCCCCATACCAGGACCTGCGGCAAAAGACAACAAGGACAAAAATTAACAAACGTCTTGCATAATCAGAATTGCGATGCAATTTTTCCCCCCAGACCTTTCGTGTACGCCACACAGTCGATGTCTGCGGGCTTCAGCCCCGCTTGCTCCAGCGCCTCCTTCAGGACAGTCAGTACAACTGCACGGTGGTGTCTGGCTGTATCGCTCGGCATGAACCCTGATGTGTTCAAAAGAAATGTGTTCAAAGTTACTCAGATGAGTGCACGGAGCGGGTTTAACTGACCTTACCTTGACCGGGAGGTGTAATGTAGGTTCGTCTCGGGTTGGAAAGCACTTCGCCGTCCCTTATGATGCCAATGCCGATCTTATTGGCACTTCCTTCGAAGCCAATCACTATCGTCATGGCAGCTGATAGAGAATGATACAAAACATCTGCCTGTAAGGATCGGGTATTCTTTCTGCATGAAAGCCAATTAGAGTTTCTTAAAGGGTAATTATTTCAAATATCTTTGCAGATATTAAATATTAAATGATTTCTCTGAGTGACAAATCAATGTGTTAACTTGCTAAAATAAATGTGACTGATCTCATTACAAAGAAAATAACACATTTTCATCATTTATTTGATGACCCCGTGACTACTAAGATAAATTGAAGTGTGTTAAGCATTCAACAGACAGTTGTCAACATCAGTTTCATCTGATTTAATGTCAGTGGAAAAAATTGTCGTGGGCATTTTTATACACAGTATATAAACATCTGATTTCAACTGTACACCACTTGAAACTCCCGAACATCAATTCTTATTCTTCTTTCGGCTTTTCCCTTTTCAGGGGTGTCCACAGCGGGTCATCCTCCTCCATCTCTGTCCTCTGTCCTCACTCCAACTACCTCCATGTCCTCTCTAACTGCATCCATATATCAGAATCAGAATAAACTTTATTGGCATTGCACCGAGATACAACGCAAATATGTACGTACAGTCGTCCGAAGGAGTTGAGATAAGTCCGGCATCAAGGCCACAGTTTGGGTCAGGCTGAACTCGTAATTGTTGTTTCTGCCTTTAAAGTCTCGCTGGTACATATTCTCTGATGGAAACTCCAACACAGCCGAATTGATCCTTTACTCCAAAAGTCGAGCTCGCAGCTTCTCCAGATTATTCCACCATTCATGAGTGCTGCCAGGGAGAACACAGTCCTGATAACAGCTGCTCCAAATCCCTGTCACAGCTCCACATTCAGTCCGAGCACTGTCAAGCTTCAACACATCCACACAAATTTGTAGACAACCAGATTCCACCAACCCAAACAGTAGAATCTAGTCGTCATCATGAATCCAATTTGTTTCACTTGTTTCACTTCCACGTTTCCTTCGAGGTAAGAGGGTCCTCCTCACCCTGACTCCTGTCGGGAGGAGTTGATCGATTTTGTTGAGAGACCAGCTGATCCTTCCAATTAAGAGGTATGCAGGAAAAAAAGAGCACAGCAGGGAAGCGTGTGTGTGTGTGTGTGGGGGGGGGGGGGGGGGGGGAGACAGGGAAACACGTCTGGTTTCACCGTAGAATAGCAGGAAAAAAATATATATACATCTCCTCTTTGTCTTTTTCCTGGCAGCTGCATTTCTAACATCCTTCTACCAGTATACCTACTGTCCCTCCTCTGGACATGTCCTGTAGATGTCTGTGATGGTGGGGAGACTGACTCCAACAGTGAGCTTTCTTGATCAGGCTGGTGGTGTTGTTGCTCCAGCTGAGG